CTACGGCGCCACCCCCGCGGGGAACTGCCCGTGCCAACAGATCCAACGGCGAATCTTGGTCTACGTATGTGCCAGGAACATGCTTACTCAACTACCACGAGGCACTTGAAGCGATGGATTCCAATAAAATATAATGCTAACTAATAGCGAAGTCTATTTACTCAACCCCAAATATTTTAATGTTTCTATATCACCGCTGTGGCACTCTCTTTCAACTATTAATTAGCGCGACAGTTTTCCTGTTAAAATTCCTCCAAATCCTATGTCCATACATGCGCTGGGCCGACCGGGCCATGCGCTGCTGCTCGCAGATAGGGCGGGCTGCGCTGAGTTGCAACGCCTTCCAACACTTAATATCATATAGGGAATACTGTTCGGCAATAAATAGTTGAAATAGCAGTATAAAAACATTCAAGGCCAGTAATTCGACCCATCGATTATGCAAAGTCTGAACGAATGCTACAGACGTAACTGAGCAACCGCACTTTGTCGAGTTAATGCAAGCACAATTAACCTATATCACCAACGCGCTATTAGTTAGTCCAATTATCAGCCTGCGTAATTACTAAGCAAATGTCTAATTGAGAAATCCGTTAAATTCGGCTAATATCTGGCACGACAACGCGAATTTTAATGGCCAACAAAAATAAACATCGAGCTTCGGTTCGGTGACGTCACAGAATTCGTGTATGCTATAAACGCATGTTGACGGCCATCCGAGATTGTTATGTTCCGGGTAAATGTTGTTTGCCTCAGTGTCTTATTCAATTTGCGCTAAGTTAGCCACATTATGATTACTATGTTGCTTGTAATCTCAAAGAAAGCGTAGTATTCCAATTTATTCCCGAAATCCCAAGAGTAAAACCAATGAAACGTACCGGAGATGGCGTGCACTCACAGACTACAAGGGATCCGAAATCACGTGACGGCCGAGCATGACGTGCGAAAATGTCCGGACGTGCACTATAATGCTGTATGACACCGGCGCCGCTTGCGCCAGTTCTGAGGCCGGTTACAGCCCGGCATGGCGGTTTGCGTAGCTGTCCAACACCGAGTTTCCCTTGGACTGACGGACTTTCAATGCTAGACATTTCCTTAGTAAGCCAGCGTGAAATATTGGACAAACTAATACGCGTTTGGCTCAGAAGGTAATGTACTTATTAACTAGAAACAAAAAAAAAAAACAAAAACACACAAACAAAAACAAAAAAAAAAAAAAACAATCGGTGCAGTTAACTGTAGCAATTCCGTTAAAAAGCGATAATCGATGGTCGAATTATGGCCTTTAAGAAGTTTGGTAGTAATAGATTTCGTATTTAGTTAGGCATTATATTTTATTGAAACGCTTCAAGTGCCTGTGAGCTCACATACTGTGGTTGATGCTGCTATTTTACCTTGGATTACTTATATTTTACGCATATTATATATATATACAATATATAATATAGTATATATTATATATATATATATATATATATATATATTACACCTACCTAAAGTTGTATCGGTATTAGTAACATTATAGTATATGCATTATTTTGCCGTTTTTACCCCAAGCTTCACTGGTTGGGAAAATCTGCTAATCCAGCACATATCTGGTCCCAAGCTTGCCAGATTAGTGAGGTCCAACTTTTATCTATTTTCTCAGAACTGTGAATATGTATCCATGTGCAAGCTCAGATTTCATAGCTTCATAAAACATAATACATTTAACACCCTCACCCATCTCAACGCTATCATCTATTATGGCTCCCAATTTGAAGGTTATAAACATTTCTCGATCCTAGCAAATTCTAGTTGAGCTATGAACTATGGCCCCTGTTGAACAATGAACTAAAGCGCCAACCATTATCGGAAACCTTAGGCAACCCACTTGTAATGGCCTAGCTCCCCATTTTCAGGGCTTCCCCAACGGGTCAAGAACCTCAGTTCTTTATGCAGGGTACGAAATTAACGGGAGTCCGGAGTCAAATACTCCCTGATTTACTGTCGGACTCCCTAATTTGACATACGAGTCCGTGTGACTCCCTGAAAATTCTGCGATACTGACTAGTTCGTCTGACTAGACGGCCTCGCGGAATTACCGAATTTTTTCAGCTAATGTCCTAAGAAAATTTGCCAGATGTGCACACACTGCACGAATCTTAAAAATTAGCACATGCGTTATTGGTAATTTCTTTAAATTTGAACCTCAGACTGCAGACTCCCTCATTTTGCTGCGGACTCCCTCTTTTTGAGGGTAGGGAGTCCATTGGACTCCCGTGTTCAAAAGTTAATTTCTACCCCTGTTTATGTAATACACAATGCTAGCGAAGGGAACGTGAGCGATTGCGTGGCATACGTACTCTCACTGCCTCAGATTCAGCTTCAGCCTCCAGTATGACGCGATTCCTGCGTGCAAGCAAAACACGTGCTGTTTAAACAGTCGTCGCCTCCTGAGGATCGTGTTGTGGTGCCGCCATCACTCCGCCGTTCCGTGCTGGAGAACTTGCATGCAGCTCACCAGGGCGTGTCGTCCATGGAACTTCGCGCACGAGCCATGATCTTCTGGCCTGGCATCACTGCCGATATTCACAAAATCCGTGCGAAATGCTATGAGTGCAACAAGAATGCTCCTTCCCAAGCGCCTCTTCCGTCCACGCCGGCAACACCACCATCCACACCGTTTGAAGCTGTGTTTGCAGATTTCCTTAATTTTGGTGGGCACCATTACCTCGTGGTGGGAGACCGCCTCTCTGGATGGGTCGAGATTTTTTCGTCCCCGGTGGGATCGCCACGGGCAGGAGCTATGGGCCTCATTGCAAGTCTTCGCACATTCTTTGCGACATTTGGAGTGCCGGAGGAGTTATTCAGCGACGGAGGGCCGGAATTCACCGCCAGCGCCACTCGTGACTTCCTCTACCACTGGGGCATCAGCCACCGAGTCTCATCCGCTCACCACCCTCAGTTGAATGGGCGGGCGGAAGTGGCCGTGAAGTCAGCAAAGCGTCTCCTACGGTCAAATGTTGGTCCGACAGGCGTGTTAGACAATGACAGGTTGCTACGTGCGCTGCTGCAGCTCTGCACCAGTCAGATTTGGGAAACAGCTGCGTGACTCATTCTCTTTCGTGAACTGCCTGGAGAAGTACTCAAACCCTTTTGTCCGCCCGGAATGGCAAGAGGCATGGCACTCGAAGGAGGTCGCGCTACGAGCGAGATTCGTGAAGTCGTCTGAGAGCCTGAATGAGCATGTGCGCCCCCTGCGTCCCATACATGACGGCGACAGGTGCTTCATCCAGAATCAAGTGGGGAACTCACCGAAGCGATGGGACCGCACCGGCACGGTTGTCGAAACTCTTGGCCACGACCAATACCGCATTAAAGTGGACGGGTCCGGGCGCCTCACCACACGGAACCGGAAGTTCCTCCCGAGCATTTGTTCCGGCTTCTACCGAGATCCAGGAACGGGCCCATGCAGAACCATCTATGCCGTCGCTGGCACCACCAGCTCTCAAACCGCCAGATGCTGCCCTGCCTCGTCCTGGTCTTCCACACGCGGCCCCACGCAATCCGTGCACGGACACACCTTGTGTTGCGCCGCCGAGTCTTTCAGCACCACATGAAAGGCCGACAGATGACGATCTCCCAGCAGCCACTCTATCGCTGCCTACCCTGGCCCCTGCAGCTGAGCAATGTTTTTTGTTTCGGGAATCCGCACCCGCCACGAACATCGAGCAAAACACGTTTTGCTCCACGTTCAGGGTGTTTTGCTCGGGTGTGTGCGCTAGGCTTGTGTGTGTTTCGCTGAACAAGCAATGTTTGATTCGCGGACCGAGTTTTTGCCTGAGCGTACGTTTTGCTCGGGTATGTGCGTCAATCGTTCTGCTACACAGCGAAACGCCACAGACGGTCTCCAATCAACATCCTTAAAAATATCACATGACACACAAAATTGGATGTCCATTGGATGGCTATTTTTGATGTCATGTGACAGCGGCGCTGTACGCAGTGTTTCTGTATGTTTTGCTCAGCTGTGTGCTGTGTCGGGTGGCGTGTGTGCGCTTGCTCGCCGAGCAGAACGCGAAACGCTGGAAAACAAAATTTCCCGTTTTGCTCCGGGTGTGTGCGCTAGGCTTTATCACCGTGGCAGATTTTATTTTATTATTCTCGTAAATATTTTATTGATTACTGTTGTCAAACATCAGAAGGGACAGCTGTCATAGTAGCGCGCGCGACACTGATGTCGACTTATTTCAGTGAACTAATAACACATGACTGTGTGTGCGCGTGTCGGTGTGTGTGTGCGTGTGTGTGGATGAGTGTGTGTGCGTGCGTGCGTGCGTGCGTGCGTGCGCTTGTGTGTGTGTGGGTGTGTGTGTATGTGGGCCTGCTTTTCCTTGTGAGACAGAAAGAAATCACGCACATGTTTGTAGCAACTAGAACGAGACATTTTTTCACGAATAATTTTTATTGAATGAAATATGGTTAGGGAATCATAACAAGCATATGGTAGATTCACTTACGGCGTAATGAAAGTAGTGTACCAGTCTTCATTACTAGCTATCCAGTGTAAGTTGTATACTATGACGAGGAAAACGGTGTCACTACTGCTATCAATATGACAGAAGCTATAACCTAACAAGACGGCGTTTTAGAAATAGTTTGACCATAGACCCGATTAAAAAAGGTTCCACGTTACTTGGGCACACGCGCAAGCAATAAAAAACACTGCATAAGTTGGTCGGACTTGGAGACAGTCATGCTTACCCGTAAAGAAAAACCGAAGGCACGATCACAATAGTACGACACCAAAAGCTGTGCTATGTGCGACTATAGGCATGAACTGCTAGGACCAGCTATAATTTGTGACCCGCTCCAGCATAATACGGACTAAGTCGCAAGTCATTGTTTTGAGTAATGAGCACGCACACATGTCAATGCTGAAAATGGCCTACCTTGACAAAAATGAGTTCCTAAGTGCATATTTAATCCGGATATATAGGTTCAGATATCTCTAGATTATTATGGTCATTTTTAATTTAAAAAAAAAATAATTTGAAGGGCCCCTGACCGCTCATCCCCGACTGGGCCCCTTACCCGGAACGCTTTATCTCAAAAGCTGCATATTCCGGAATGTCGGTTTCCGATCTTCAAATTGCTGTAGATCGGTCAATTCTTTAGATATAACCAAATATTATATATCATTTTAAAGGTAATTAAATGATCTCCAGATATGCACATAACTCAATTTGTAGAATTTCCTACTTAATCCTGGTTTTGCTGGAGCGGGTCACATTTAATAACAAACTTTACTATAGTATCATCTGCAATATATCAGGAGCTAATAATAGATGTAGTATATTAGCTCTTGAATGTATCTAAGTATAGACATGCTTACAAAGAGATGAATAAATCTCACTATTATTTATTATTGATAATTATTATTTATTATTGTAAAGTGGTAGTCAGCTCTATCACCGTGATTTATTCGAAAACTCCGGAGCAGTCACGTTGTAGAACGATTCGTGAAATTATATCTTGGAACACGACGAACACAAACACACACAAAATACGGAATCTATTAGGATTAATAATAATATAAACAAGGTAAATAATACTGTATTAGAGAAATTGTTCATACATGTGTGTGAGTACATTTTATGGTTAAGTAAGGCCACTGACTGTTAGCAACAACACGCAAATATGCACGCAATCTCATGCCTGCATGTGTACACATACGTCCGCCCGCCCGCACGCACGCACGCACACAGGCGCAGGCACGCACGCACACACACACACACGCAATGCACGCATATACACACACAGATACACAGGCATTCACGCACGCACGCACGCACGCACGCACGCACGCACATATATGAGTAGTATATAATATTTAATGCATCTGGCTACTGTTCACTACACTACAAACATACTCTCTGAATTCTCGATACTCGGTAAATATTGCCATTAAAAATATCATTCGACACCGAATAAAAATACACTGGTAGTTTTCCCTGAACCACTGCCATGCACGACAAGCGATAATGATTTCTGGCCGGATGGATGCTGGGAGACAAAAACACATCTAGCACTGCCCAGAACGCCACGCACGAACGATTACCGCTTCCGTGAGTAAACGCTCTAACCTCTACAGACTTAAATGCCTAACATCAAACTATGGGTGCGGTATGGTTCACCCAGACAGCATGCAACCTGCGTCGTCTTTCTACTGCACCGACCGAGGCCCGTGGCGTGTAAATATTCACTCTAACATCACTCATAAGAGCTTCGTGCAAGGTACGAGATTCAATCGAGACACGAATCGGGGCACAAGATGGCAGTACGGCGTCTACGTACCTACCCACGACTCGCCCAAACAACAAAGATATGAGAAGGCAAGATTCTTACTCCTAATAATAGTAATATATGACAAGAAATGCTTGCCAAGATTCGCGTGGGTTGAACACATTTCATTTCACTCCACTACAACACTGAGATATATGTATTTCATGGCAAAAACCTCATTATAAAATAGAATCATGAGATTCGGTAAGCGACTAATAAAACACTAAACATTAATGCATGCAATCCCCATAAATATCGGGATTTAATTACAGGAACGATACGATAGTACTGATATTAAAACACAAGGGCATACAAACATGCCTTAACCACCTAAAATGTCAAAAATACACTATACGACAAATGCATATTAATATCTACCGGTAGGACTTCTCATGGTATTACCAAACATAGCATGCTGGCAAAGATCACACGACGTTAACAAACAGAAGAAAACCAAGCTGATTGAAGCGGTTTGTGAGACAGCGAATCTAATAGATACATAGCGCCTGACAGGGAAAAGGTTTTCTACATAGTTTGAAACTTTTAGAACAAAACTGAATAGTTTATGGGGTTAAGATTGTTTATCGTTTTTCATTACCTATATTGCATGCCACCTTCGATAATGTTCCAAAAGATACTGGAAACAGGGAACATCACATACTTTACACTTCCAACAACGTGAGTGACTCCAGGAAATATGGCTCAACCAATGCCGCATTTAAAATATTTAGCTTACAAAATGATGAAGTTTCCATGAAACATGCAATTTTACTACACGATCCTTTATTCTCACGCACATGGGCCAATTCTGTTCGCATTTTGCTAATGTTTTGTAACAATCAGTGCGAAAACCCCCAAGACACACAAGCTAACATTTCTCAAGTATTTATTAGATTAGTAGTCTCACACAGCGCCACACAAGCCATAAGGATAAAGAGATGACCCTCTTGGTAACACTGGTAGTATTGAAGTAACTATATAAAATACCAAGAGGAAGATGTAATCCGTAGCTGTAGCACGAACACATCTATACAATATGTATAGAATACATATACAAATTGTATAAATATGTTCACGGTTGCATTTAACCCATTGACGTGATCCTGGATGATGCATAGTAGTTCTATCGTGGGTGGGCCATCTTCATAACCTGCCAAGAATATGATTCTGTTAGGTCAACAACACAAACACGTTACGTTTAGATGTTCTTATTCTTTTTTTCATTCTAAACTATCAATATACTGTTTCGCTATCTGTGCTATCTTTTGTCAGCTGAGTCATGGGAATGTAGTTCCGCCATGTGCAACTGCATACTGGCTAAACTGCATTTCAGATTTCAAGTATCACCTCCCAAGATCCTTGACAAGCAAAAGCTAACAAATGGTAAATGTGACTGTTTACAGGTTTTATATGAGTAAACCACTGTCTATGGCTACGTAGAAGCAATATTTCTATGTTAGTTGAACAAAAATAAACAAAACAAGGCTGATAAAAGCAAAAAGTAGTTTTTCCTGGAGGCAAAATCAGAAAAATTACGTATTACATTTTTTTTACAAAAAAACACGTAAAATTCAACAACAAAAATATTTAGGATGGGCACATTTTCTCAGGGTTGTTCAGGTGACCCCAAACATGGTTTTTATATATTTTCAACCCAAATAAAAGCTGATCAATGATACTCCCGACCCTCAACGTGATCCGAAAGACGTGGCATTACACGTCAGAACTGGGATATTAAGTTGCTCTAAGCTGTGGACACACTAGGCGATTTTTCTGGCGATTGAGTCGGGGGAGTCGCCGGCGATTTTCGAGTTGGGCGACTGAGTCGCCCGAATCAAACATGTTTGATAAAATCGGGCAATTATTTGAGTCGCGCGACTACATACAATGCGCGCCCGAACAATGCAATACTATACAATGCGAGTATACAATGCTCTACTACGCGCGCCCGAATGTACGATTCATCAGCCAATCAAACGGTGCCATTTTCAATCATGTGACTATCAATCTAGGTGGCGCGAGATGAATCGCCGATGAATCGCGCTGAAAATCGCCTAGTGTGTCCACTGTGTCACCCGACTCAGTCGCCCGACTCAATCGCCTGAAAAATCGCGTAGTGTGTCCACAGTAGGGCTGTATCGATACACTCGTGTATTCGGTGCACTGAATATTGTTGTTGGACGATACGTATTCGTTATTCGCGTCATCATTATTCGAATACTGACGAATACAAATAATAGAAATGGAACCTACTTGAAAAAATCTTTTTTAAACTGCAATTCTATGCAGATTTGCTCGAATTCGGAATGTCGTTTGCAGCTTTACCCGTGAACGCACCTAGACTGGTACCCATCGCTTCTCACACGTCGAGAAGGCCGGGACGTGTATCTTACTATCACGTGTAACTCATCCCATATCGAGCGTGTGAGAAGGGATGGATACTAGGGTTGCAGCGGTATACCGGTATTGCGATATTATCGCGGTAATATTTTAGGTAATTATCATACCGTAACCAGCTCAATACCGCGGTTTTCTTGTTGACATGTGATATACACGTGTACAGTGATGTCACGAAAATCTGACACAGCCATGCCGCGTTTTTCCAGCCATGTGCGCGGCAGCGGCGCCTTTGATTGAAGTACGGGGCTTGATCGATCGCGAGCGCATAGCGCGTTTCACTAACGTCTGCTAAAAGTTGTTCGTTAACGAACGAAAGTTGTCCGGAGGCATAGCAGACAACACACCCACCCACGCACGCATGACACACGCACGAACGTGCACACACACACACATGTGCGCGCACACACATACGCACACACACACGCACTCACACGCACACGCACACGCACACGCACACGCACACACACGCGCGCGCTTACACGCACACACACGCGCGCGCGCTTACACGCAGACACACATATACATTTTCATGTGAGTCTGCTAAAATACGTCTGCTAAAACACCCTAGGAGCCAGGGCATGATTGCATGCCATTCTATCGTAAATATAAAGCATTTTTTTCATTCATAATTATATATATTAATATTTATTCCTTTGGTAGTTTTCACAGCTTCAACAAGTGAGTATTCGTATTCGTGAAATATTCGTATTTTCATGCATATATATCGTGATACGTATCGTATTCGTGACCTAGTGTATTCGTTACAGCCCTAGTCCACAGCTTTAGTTAGAGATTCAGGCACCCTTACCTGGGAGACATCCATCCCAGTCATACTCTCGACAATCTTGGGCAGCTGGTTGACAATATCCACGATCTCGCCAGTTAGCTTAGATGCTCCGACATCTCCTTTGCCATTAGACACCATCGTGATCTTCTTGGTCTGTGACAACGGGGCCGACACCTCAGCGACAACCTGTCAACGGGAACAATTATCAGTGCTGCATTATTACTTGGTTAACACACGATCTATGTTATGTACTCAACCGTCGCAGTTGATGGTCGTTGTGTATTATGATACTATGTAACATAATCAATGATTGGTTATACCATTCATTATATTATACCATTATTTATTACCATGAAATGCATGGACGAAATAAACCGGGTAAATTTACGTTGCCTTAACTGCGGTTTATACTAAATGTACGGTGGTAAACTTGACATGGGAGATAATTTACCAATTTTCAGCACGTAAAATACAAAACAAGTCTATAAACGTAGAAATAATTTATATTTTTCATAAAATCCAAATATTTATTTATAGTTAACTTGTAGCATTGATTACTGATGGTTCAGATGCTGACACTGGAAAACAAAATGAAAACAATTCTTCTCTAAAGTTGGCAAAAACCCAAAAAACATCTTCACCACTGACAGGCAGGCGTGCCTAACGTACCTTAGGCATTGTTTCCAGGACCATATCCAACATGGCCGCATCCTTGTATTCCTTCCACGCATCTGCCTTCTTTGCCATCTGCTCAGCCTCTGCCTTAGCTTTTGCTTCAATGGCAAATGCTTCAGCTTCACCCCTCAACTGAATTATAAACGATGTCATACATCTGCAGGGATGATCTGCAGAGGCTTTCGTGCATTAGTTGTTTAACAATCACTTGTGGTTGGAGAGATCAGACGGAAGTGATTAGGATGCTAAACATTTTATAGATTATATCAGGAGCAGATAATGATATTCTATTATGATCTGCTCATAATTTAACACTCCCAAATGTAAAAACTCACTAAGGATTGTTTTAATGTATGATATTTAGGTTGAACCGCCCTAATCCCGCATCCACTGGCCGGCAGCTTTGATGATTTGGGACAATTATTATATCTGGTTATTATATATTTAATTATTATCTGGTGGTGGCTAGTTTGCATAACTGCCACTGGCCAGCTACGGCGCCACCACTGCCTGCCAAAATCAACCATATTGGTTACGTTTGCCACAGCTCACACACAGGCACTTGAAGCGTTTCAATAAAATATAATGCTAACTAAATACGAAGTCTATTTACTACCAAATTTTTAATGTTTCTATACTCTCTTTCAACTATTATTGCCGACAGTTTCCTGTAAATTCCATCCAAATCCTATGTCCAACATGCGCTGCCGACGGCCATTGCTCTCGCGGCTGCGCTGTTGCACGCTTACACTTATATATATAGGGAAACTGTCGGCAATAATAGTTGAAAGAGAGTATAAAAACATTAAGAATTTGGTAGTAAATAGATTTCGTATTTAGTTA